GAAGCGTCGATTCCAGTTCTTAAATACAGTAGACAAATTAATTGTTCAAGAACACTTCACGAGGTTATAACAACCTCTTAGCTGATCGAGTGTAATTCAGTGATTCTGAACTAACAATGTTGCCAAGTTGTAATCATTGTACCCCACTACGCGTCGAATGCTTTAAACATATTTTTCTTTTAAAAATCTATCTTTTTACCAAAACGGTCAAAAAATTCAACGTTTTTTTAGAAAATTGTATAACTGTTTGATTTACATTACATTAGTTTTAAAAAAAATATAGTAAGAACCGTTTTCGAAATATCTTGAAATAAATGCATTGCTTATGTACATGACAGGCTTCAAGACTGTTAATTATGCACAATTTCATTGTTAATATCTCGTTTCACAGACGGTCAAAAAAAATTTTTAGTTAGGTACGTAAAAGACATTTTCTTTAACTTAATAACTTAATATTTTAATTTTATTGAACTCTTAAGAAAAGCCGTCTTGCGAATAAACTACTTTAAATATTATTTTAAAAAAAATAAAAATAAATCTTGAAGCTTATTTTTAATTATATATAATATGTACCTATTTATTGTAGGTTTTTATTCGCATTTAAATTTTTAAAAAATAGCCATCTATCGAAATAAAACCATTTTAAATAAGGGATTCTTATTATTGGTATTTAAAAATATCAGAAAATGTTAATCGACGCTACCCATTTTAAATTAGTCACACCACTTCATGCATTGTCAGAATTGTTAAAATGGAGAACAAACACAATGCCATTATTTCTTCTGTTCCCTCTAACTTGTGTACGGCAAAATTTTGCTACAGTACTTTGTAAATAATAAAATTCATTAATCTCCGAAATTAGGGAGAGTATTATTATTATTATTTGTGTATAACTATTTTTGGTTGATAAATAAAATGTTTTAATTGGTCTTTATTTTATTTCATAAAGGAAGGTATGTAGTCAGAAATATGTATAATATTCTTGCTTCACATATAAAACGGGTTCTTCACAATATTTTTCTATTTTCTTTTCTCCTTCGTCAAGCTTTATAGTAGGTATATTTACTCAAAATGTATACAAATTGTTTAAAGTACAAAATTAATAATCCTATAAAATTGAGTAAATAATATACAATATGACAAGCCTGTGCATGGTCTATGTAGTATCACAATACTGTAAAAAACTATTCTTACATTGAAAGTTAAAAATATACGCTATAGAACAATATTTTTAAAATCATGTCCATCCGCTTTCATCTAGCATTTTATAGTAATTAACAATATATAACCCCTTCCATACGGTACGGCACTGCTAAGTTCTCCGTTTGTATACCTTTCCTCTCTCCCCGTCTAGATAATCATTAAACCCATTACTTCCACAGGTAAGGCGTATCTATCCTAATACATGATCGAATGACAGCACATAATTTTGTACAAAAATATTTGAGCTGAGGATTTTTTGAGGATTTTTGAGGATTTTTGAGGATTTGTTTGTTCAGTTCGACGCCCAGTTCTTTTTTTTTTTAGAAGGAGGAGGAGGATTTCTTTCGTTTCCTCTTCTTTTTTTTGAAAGTCCACTACACTTTTCGAAAAGGTGTATCCTCATAAAATGTATGCTAAAAAACACAAAGAAAATTCTTAAAAATGGAGGGATAGATTTAGATAAATGTATATGTCTTTTTTTGATTGCCTCAGTTTAGAGTAATATATACTATTTATAGTGAAACTTAAAACTACTACACATTTATTTTTTCTTACGTAAATATTTTCAATAAATATGACATGATTTAGTATTTAATGATTTAAAATTAAAAACATTTAGTCTTGAGTAAAAAATAAATAAAAATCATTCAGTTTTTCTATGTTTACGAAACCATTAAAAGTCTTAATAATTAGTCAACATTAAACATTTAACACACTTATAAATTTTAAAACATTTACTAACCTAACTGCATCTTATTTATGTTTGAGGCCATTTAATTCAGTTCCATCAGATTTAAAATGTTCAATCAAAACAGTATAAATAATTAAAATTATTAATGTCTTTAATCTAAGAGATTGTCCTTTTTGAATACAATAACATTTTTGTGTTGATTAAACATTTTTATGTATACATTAGAGACTTTATTTCATTTGGAAGAAGAGGGGTATATCTCAAAAACAATGATTTTACAATAGAGCAAATTTAAATAAAAATAGAGAGTTACATCTACTCTCTTGTGCTGTTAAGCTAACTCGTTCTCTTTTTCCTTATAAAACATGAAATAATTTTAAATAGATTCTCGTTGAAATTTCAAAGTTTAAGTTTTTTGAGATGTAACCCTCTTCCTCCAAATGGGGATTTAATATTTATTAACCTAATAGGCTCCCATGTACCAGCGAACTCTCCACACAGCTAGTTGTTCCTTGATCCATTATAAAATTATTCCCCACACACCAGCAGACCTTTTCATCAAACCCAATGTCTCCCAGATCATCTGGTACATGACTCAACTGTATAATAATTAGAATCAAGGATCTAGCCCTTTCAAAAATTCGTCTGATCTTTCTAGGATCAGATCCGTCAGTCAAGTGCGCCAGTATATGAAAACCTATAGAATACTTTACCATTTATTTTAGTTAAGAACACCAGAAATCGTTGACAAAACCTATGATGATTAATAAAAAAAATTAGGTATATCAAGATTTTCTCGCGCAAAATTGAGAGAAATGAAATTGCAGGAAAGTGAAGAAGTTACTATTAACATCCCTTAACATACCTCCTCACAAATCTTAAATCTCCTGCAACAAATGCATCGAAATAACCAAAATAAGAGAAGCAAATGCTGTTTTATATTAGATTTATTTTGTGGAAATGTATCATTCAAATTGATTCCAAGTTTATTCCGTCCAGTTTACTTCTGATGATTTATCAACATTATTTTAAAATATCTTAGTACTCCATTGGTCAACTGTCAGAAGTCAATTAAGAAAACATTAATTTTTCTATAGAATGTAGATTATTTTTATTTAAACTCTAACACAATATATATCTCAGCAGAACAATTTCCGTCCTGAATAGTACCGAAACCTAGACCAAATCGCTTAAACTTTGAAGCTAAACTAAAGTGATTAGGTAAATTTCACATTAATACTACCCAGGGCCGGATGCTCCCGTGTTCAATTTTCGTCTGCCATGCGCTGGCTGTCATTATGGAGAGGGGAGTGCTTATTTTCTCCGATTTGGATCAGAAAAATATTAAAAAATATCAAATGACTAATTTTATGTATCTTTACGTTTCAGATTATCATTGCTTCATGTTTTTCTTTTGTTCTCTATCATTGGAATACTGCCAACTATTCTGGATTCTGCTAGATTACTGTAAAAGGTCTTGTGTCGAGTGGAAACTTGAATTGAATATTTTTGTGTAACACTTTTAAGTTATCTCAGATATCTTAAGAATCTTTAAAACACACCGTATGGAAAATATTTTTAATTTTGTTGAAGGAATATACACTTTGACTAACCACTGTAAGCGAAAATTCACGCTCATCTGACTGGTTCAATAAAGAAGAAAATCACTATATTGAAAAAGAAAATTTTCGCAATAATACCTGTTGTAGAAGGGGCAAAGTACAACTCCGGTTACAAGCTAGTATTGGAAAGAGAAAACGAATGATACCCAGAATAAAATTGTAAAAAGTTAGGAGAAAATTTCAAATTGGTGAAAACCGCATTTCATTTTCTGAACTAGTTCAAACGTCATGAAAGATTTAAGAAGGGTCAATATACATCTTTGGTTACAATCTAGTGTGTCGAAAAAAAACGAATAATCAGAAAAAAATATATAGAAAAGTTAGGAGAAAACTAATGAACACCCCATTTAATTACCTCAATTGGTTTAAAACTTGTGATTGAGGTTTAAAAAGGGGCAAAGTACAATACCGGTTACAACCTAGTAAAAAAAAAACGAATACCCAGAAAAAATGTAAAAAAAGTTTGGAGAAAACTAGACTAGCAAATATAAAACTGATCATGTATGTTTATTGATAGAGTTGTCAATTAATTAATAAAGTTATTCTTTATATATTAAAATTATTTTTCCTTTCCATAGAGTTCTGCCTTACTTCAAACAGTTATAGTAGCAGAGGTAAGTTCGTCTACTAAATATATTTTATTTGTTGCACTTGTGTGTCACTCTCGACACTGTATTCGAACTGTCATTCTTGTCAAAAGTGTATGCTACACTCAAGTATGTGTCAAATATTTAAAGCTACACTGAACAATTCAAATGCAGAAAACTTACACCTAGTGCAATAAATAAAATTCTCTATGAGAAATATAAATCCAGGAGAAGATGACATTTCTGTTATATTTTTAAAGCATCTTTTCGAATTTCTTCTTAACGTCCTGAAATTTTTTAACGGTTGAGTGAAATTAAGTCCACATAATGGAGTAGACACCGCAGTTTTATTTAAATGTGATTACATCCAACGTTACACAAATATAAAGTGAAGATTATTAATTATTAGTAATGTTAAATTTTTAGTAAATACTTTTTCGCAAATCAATTGCATTAAAATGCACATTTTTTATATTTTTCGGTCCTTGATTGATGTGACAATTTAAAAATTGGTTCTTGATAAATGAGACAACTTAAGAAGGGTTGCTTTATTTAATTTTTTGGTATTTTGTAGGGTTTTAAAAGGTATATTTCAAATACTTTTTAGTTTACCAACACTACCGAGTTTTTTTATATTCTCACGTTTCCACTTGACACATCTTATTCATAATATATAAATTATTAAAATTATAAACATTGTCATTTATAAATACGTATTAATTATTATTTTAAGGCAGTTTATGTTTGAGTACCTTGTAAGTCTTTAAGTATTTCTTTAATTTATCAATTATGTAATCTAAAATAAAATATATAACAAACAATTTTATTTAAAAATATCGAAGGAACTTAAAACTTGATGATATTAATAAAGATGATTGATAAAAACCCTTTGATACATTACGTATTGTTTGAATGGACGGACACTCCTGAAGAAATATTCTTGTGCCTGCTAAGTGAATTCACGAATTCTTCATTTTCTTTACGAACTAAAAAAAAAACATATCATTAATAAAGTTTTCCAATCAAATACTTTATGAATCGATACAATAGGTTGGTTCTAAAACGTCCAAAAACCATAATATTATCGTACAAACATGTGCTCACGCAAAAAATGTATACAGCGCATGATTTGTATGGTAAATATTACGGTTATCACCACAAAAGCAGATAGAGGTTTCACGTGAATGACCAAGGTCAAAACCAGGGGCTGGTACCACTCCAATTAACCGAATGGCGCTCGTATCGAAATGTCATGTCAATTGTCAGCTGTCAGCTCGACAAAACTTCATGGCTTGCACCGAGTGTATACAAAAGGTGGAAGATATGTAATTTTTACGGAGACATTCACACTTGACTCCCGACTCTGACACCGCCATTCCAGTGTTGATACCACGGTGTCAGAATCGGAAGTGTATCACAAAGTTAAAATCTCAAAAATCCCGCTCGTGGCGGCCATATTGAATTTTAGTACCATTCCAATTTGATAGATGGCAGCACATCGCCTCAGAATTTTACCATTGAGTTTCCCATCTATTCACTTTCATCTAATCTATGATTATATGTCAGTGAGATGCACGAACAAAGCTTTGTCAAACTCAAAGCCGTAGCACAACGTGTGTCTTTTTTTCCACCGGTTTGTTGCAACCGTTGTTTCACCGATGCGGCCTTGAACGTTTTGTGTTGGATTCGATACATTTTTGGTTGACCGTTGAAATAAATAACAGTTGACATACCGCACCGATGCCAACGTTGCTGCAACAGTTGGATAAAAAGACACGCGTACAGCTTAACAATACAGCTAAAACACTCTCTTGGCGGCAACGGTTTGCGTCGATTTCGTCGCGCATCGCTTAAGCTCCGCCTTCGAAGGGAAAAGACGGTTTTGGTGTTCAGAAGCGTACTTAGGTAAGGTGTTGAGTCGTGCGTATAATTTCGTTGATTGTATAATTTCGTGGAGCCTATAATTTCGTTGATTTTGTTTGAGTTAAAGGTACTGTTATTATTTTGGTGACTCTTTAGCTATGAGTAGAATGAGTGAAAAAAAAGACATCAATCTGTTTGTGCAGTCAAAAGCTGTTTTAATAAGGGTTATACCTGCAAGAAAACATTCTTTAGTTTTCCCAAGGACCCAAACCGATAAGTACCACATTATAAGAAATTTTCATTGTTAAAAATATAATTTATACAGGGTATCCCATTAGTGCGTTATTGTTCATTATTTTGTTGTAGACACGCAAGAAAGTTTTAAATAAAAGTTATATGGATTTGAAAAATACCTACATATTTTAAAAATATCTTTGGATATACAGGGTGTCACGTTTTTGCCTGGCAAATTAAAATGTATGTTTTTTAAATGGAACACCTTGTATTTTATTTTATGATAAAATTATTAACACCCTAAATTATTGTAAAGACGAATTGATACAGAAAAATTTTATCAGGTATGTGTGTGGTTACCTTTTAATAAAAGCCTTGCGGATCCACTCCTCTGCGATACCTGACTTAAATATAACAAAGATCACGTTGAATTAGATGATTTTTCTTTTTATTGCTTTTTAAAGGCATATGATAACGCCAATCCAGATACATTTGGAAATCTGCAACTGTCAAATGATGAATTTGTAGAACTAATATTCAATATTGAAAAGATATTTCAAAATAATTTTGAAAAATTGGCTACAAAAAATAACATTTGTACCACACTTTTAGAATTAATTAACCCAATACCCTTTAGTCATCCATGCTAACGTTTTCCAAAAGAATAACTTATTTTATTGTATGTTTAATCTCAATAACTAAAAAATATACTGACAATTAGTTTGACAGAATTGTCATTTATTTAAAATTTTAAAAATAATAGCAGTCGGTTGATCAAAATATGAACGGTGATTGGCGAATTTATTTTTTTTTGCAGTGTTCTCACTACCTAGAATGGATATGAAATATATTCGTTCAATTGAAGGCAATAGCATACTTTTTCGTTTTGTAATCTGTGCATGGATATTAGCCAATCTATGCACATACTACAAAACGAAAAAGTATGCTATTGCCTTCAATTGAACGAATATATTTCATATCCATTTTAGGTAGTGAGAACACTTTAACAAAATTAAATCTACAAATCACAGTTCATATTTTGGTCACCCAACTCCTATTATTTAAATTTTTTTAAATAAGTGACAATTCTGTTAAACTAATTGTCAATATATATTTTAGTTATTGATATTAAATATACATTAAAATTTTTGTGTAGACTCGATAAATAATAGCATTTTTGTTTTTATTGTGTCCACATTTAAAAAAAATAAATTTTAATCAAACTACATGATACTAATTTAATTACGAGTATTAAAACTAAAGTCCTGAAAGTTTCGGTGAAGATGAGGACAGAGCATCTGCCTTCCACGCGAAAAGCCCGGGATCGAATCTAGGCCGAGGACTAATTAATTTTTCATGTTAATTTTATTTTATAAATTAGTCAACTTCGTAAATTATTTTAAAATTAGTTATTTTGTCTAAATAACCTAAAATAATTTTTTAAATTTGTAGATTTTCGTTAGTGGGTCGTAGAAAAAATATACTGACCATATCGAGTGGATTGTTCATATCACAATCAGACGATTGAGTACTCCGCATACGACGTCGTGCTCAAACTTCGTCTTTGTGTGATGTTGCTATCATATCCACCCTTGTTGAACAAACTATAATTTATTTGTTTTCTTGGTTTAAACCAAAACTTAAGTTTTACATCAGAAATAGGAACTAAATTAATTTACTTTTCAAATTTTCTTATAAAAATCGATATTACTTTCTCCAAGTACAAATTTAGTACCTACCTAAAATAAGTACTAATTATGTAATATCGTGTAATATTGTAATTCAAATTTCACATTACTATAAAGTTTCAAAATTCCCTACTTCGGTATGGTCAGATAAAAATTGAATATATTATATTAATAAAAACTGTCAAAGTATTAATTCTACAAATCTGTATTTCAATTAATAAGAATACATCTAAATATAACCAATATTGTTAAAATAAAAGCACAAATTCTTTATAATTCCAAAATACCATAGAGTTCCCAGACCTCAGTCGAAGCATTCGTTTATCTAGGTATAAACCCTTTGCGCGAAGAGTAACACTTGCCAGAGACACGGGGTACCACTTGATTTGCATCCACGAGCGTGACACAATTCTTTAACAATTGAAGCCCTTGGTGTAAAAAGGATCCAAGCCACAATTTGTCGTGAAGTGACTGTTTTAGCTCAAAACATTTGTTAACGAGGATTTTACTAGCCACATACAAATTATTTTACCTCTAATCCGAAAGATGTGCTATTTTTCCTAATATTTATATAATGTTTCTAATTATATTTGACAGATTTAAAACAAATTAAAAATTTAATTTCCCAAAACTTACTTAATATGGCATGTAACCAACCTTATTACGCCAAGGTTTTCAATTTTTTCAATAATAAAAAAATTGTTTAATCCGGGCCCGACTTTTCCCTCGAATCTAACAGAGATAGCACCATTCCGTCTTGCTTGGTTCTCGACCGCCAGATCAAAGACGCCGACACGGAGTTGTGGAGCTGTATATTGTATAAGCTGTGGCCGTAGCCAGGGGGGGATCAAAATTGGTGATGATTTAAAGTACAGGTTGTTCAAATCTCCTTAGATGCCAGAAAAGACATTCAATTTTCCAGAAAGTGACGATAAAAGAAAGTTAAAATATCAAATGCAATGATTTGAACGGGTCTCGTGGTTGGTTTTCACGAGTACAGGTCAACAAGGTGCTTTATAATATTGTGTATTATTTGCCAGAGATTGCGCAGATAAAGGCTCTCAAGAGCAGTTGAAATCCTTAGTTACTCAGCCGCTTACTAAATAAAAAGATGCTGTATATGATTTCAAACATCACAGTGAAGTTAATTTAGTAAATTTTCATAAAGTATAGCATATTATGTTAATTTTTAGAGTAAGGCAGATTTAAACTTGCTATCAATAAACTTGTATTTATATTTGTAAGCTTGTAATACATTTGCAGTGAATGTATATTTCATATCTATTCCCTTTAAAATATAATTATAAATAATCCTCACCATAAATTTCCAATCTCGTGTTGACACAAAACATGCGGATCCGCAGAAAAGGTATAGTAAGTCACATTTAGAGTAGCGTTTTGAGTTTGTAAAGCCACCGTAGATCTATGCGTCAACGAAATAATGACTGCCAAAATGCTGATAAAAGACAAAATAAAAAATATAACTATAATAGTAATCACTATTATCTTCCTCTTCCTATGCTTCTCTATTTGGTCTTCAGGTAAGTCATCTTGCAAACGTATTGATTCTGAATGGTTTCTTGATCTAGAACTCCTCCTGGAGTTGCTGGAATTTTGTCTGCAATTCGAATTCCGCCTATAAGAACTTTGTCTGGAATCGTAAGAACTTCTTCTACACATATCTTTGTAAGAATCTCTTCTTTTCATATCCTTATATGAATCTCTTCTCTTCATATCTTTCGAATTTCGTCTAGAACCATCGTTGGAGCTTCTTTTAGAATCTTTTTTCTTCCTAGGCGTTAACTGAGTACTCCTTCTGGTTTTTTTACTTCTTGTAAACATTTTATCACGATTTTTCAGCAGAAATAGATCTTCTAAAGACACTGTTCTTCTAAATTTAACCGAACTCTTACTATTATAATCCGAAAACGAACTAGATCTCGAAGAAAATCTGTCATTTTCGGGAATTTGCAGGAAAATAGAAAAATCGCTCTGATCTTTCGTATTCGCGTACATCATATCGAGGGATTTCTAATTAGACTGAGAAAATTTGAGTTAAAATTAACTGAAGTAAATAGTGCGATGAAAAGATATAAATAGAGAATAAGACCGAGTTTACGTAATGGATAAACAGACCTACAAATGGTGTTTATTCTACACAGGGACTGTTGATAATTTAATGGTTTATTATTACGTTATACGAGGGGAGAATAAAGTTGAGATTAGTATGTCCAGGAACGCAGGAAGTATTTTCGTGCGAAATAATGATAGGCGCCTTTATAATATTGAGCTAAAATTACCATCACCCGTTGTCTCATAGTCAATTGTTGAAATTTTTGAACAAAACTACACATTTTAGTACCAATGTTTATACTTATTTGTGAAAAATAAAAAGTGCACCAAAAATATTAACAAAAGTAACAAAACAAAAATAGTTTCAAAGTATCTCTCAATAACGGTGGTACCATAGATACTGGCATTGCGGATCTCTATGCGCGAGAAGCGAGAATCGTGACGTATGTGATAACTGGACGACTCCATGAGGTATTCTAAAGAAGGGCGATGCCACAAAGCACGTATCTTCTAGAGACCTTACCAGAGATAACAGAGATATAAGAAGTCATTCATAAAATATAATATTCATGATGCCAAGAACAGTTCGCACTCAAAACATTCTATTTCTAGACGCGGGGCGAGGCGACGAAAGGTGAGAAGTAAAAGAAGGGATACAGTGAAGAATTTTACATAGTTTTATCAATGAATAACTGCCCGAGCTTTTACTACTTAACGTAACTTTTCTTGCCGGTGTAAGCCCTGTTGCCACTTTCATTCTAACATCACTAGGTTTTGGAATTTGTTGAAAATTATTACATCTAATTTAATGAAATTACATCTAATTTGGTTAAAAATGCCTATTTTTTGTTCTAATGCTCAATTAAGTCTTTGTAGGAAGTATTTTTTTATAATTATTTGAAAAAAATCATTTACATTAGCCCTTATGATCGAAAAAAAATTTAAATGTCTTAGTTTCAACCGTCTACAAATTTGTATAAAAAATCTTCTTTTAGAAATATACCTCTCATTTGACGACAAACGAAGGCCTAAATGAAAAAAAACTATTCTTTATAAAAGTTTCGCCTATGTATTGTCAAGGTAAAAGTACTTTCCTCATATTTGTTGCTTTTAAATTAACAAAAATATAGCAATAAACCATTAGTGATGTCATGGTTTTACTAGAAAGCAAACATTAAAGGCAGAGCCTATCGACTCTTTATGCATCTATCTCAGTATTGAAATGTATGCAATCAGTTTGACCCCTCTTATATTATTTTATACAGGGATTATTGATTTATCCACCATATTTAATAGGGTGTACTAATAATTACTTCAAGATTTCTTTTTTATTTTTAATGTAAAATGAAAATAAGAAAATATAAACTATTTATTAAAGGTATTTATTGAAGTATCAATTATAAACAGTAAGGCTATTGCTTTGCAAAATACAATAAATCCCCAATATAAATAAATTATAATAATAATAATAATTGGAAGGAAGTATATAAAGCATAAATTAATAATATTAAAATTTATAATTACAAGACTTTCAAACTAATCAGAATCAGATTCACCACACGAATCAACATTTTCCAAAACATTAGCGGTTGTGGTCAAACTATTTATGCAGTTTTTCTGTGTCATACAGGTGCAGGAACCGATACAGTAAATATTTTTTTTCCTGCATTTGCAAATTTTGCTTCCACAGTCTAGAACAGAATATTATTGTTAGAATATTGTTTAGTATGTTTTTTGCATTTGCATGATGTAAGTTCTGTTATGTCTGGTGGCAGGTCGGGCAGAGTCTTAAAAGTGGGTATCAGACTTCCATCTTGATCTACTTTCCATCCATACTCTTCAACATTAGGAAGCTGCATCTGGGTTTAAAGAGGTTAGCCAAATATTTAGCTGGTAAAAACATCTTAAACAATGTAGTCTTAGGGCGTCTTCAGTTGGTGGTAATTTAGCGATGGTTTTTGAAGAGGTCAATAATCCCCTCAAAATGTTAATGAAAGTAACATTGGCAGTTTTGAATACATTTTTAGGAAAATTCTTTCAAGATTAGAGCATATGTTTTCAGAGTACTGATCAGTGCCAAATCCATCCAAAAAGTAATGGTTTTCAAGGTAAGTTTTCCAACAGGTTTTGTTCCCAATGCCGGACAATTAAATGGTTGTATCACAACCGGTCAGAATGAAAAGCAGGCATATTTTTTAGAAGGTTTTCATCCAAATTTAAATAATGTACTGCTAGAAATCGCCTTGAGTCTCCTCGCCTTGTTCTGAACCATATATCTTTAGTCAAAAAAAATCGTCTTTTGATGGTTCAAAATTCTTTCCATATTTATTGATTTTCGCGAATCCACCACTAGTTAGAAATTGAATATGCTTTTGCTGAATGGAGTTTTGAAGAAGTTGTTCTGGCAGAAAATGTGTTAAACGTCTTTTGTTAAATATCTAATGAATAAACAAGTTCTATTGTTGCGGAAGTGGAATATTGGGTCGGTCAATTTCTATATCAATATATTTCTGAAATCCTCTCTTTTGACGTGTTGTATTTTTGATAGAATGTCCTTTATAATGATCAAATACCACATCTATCATTTGAGCATTAAATTTATTTCTAAAAATAATGTTTACAAATATATGAGCATATTCTTTAAATGATATGCAACTTTTGGACTTTCCTATTTTGATATAATTTTTGTCTCTGCTACTTGCAGCAACAAATCCGTAATTAAAATTTTAAACGAAAACTTATAACTTACCCAAATATATTTAGCTGCAACAGGATGAATGTAGATATATTAAAGATGCAAAAATGTCTATATTTTTTCCCAATTTATTAGGTAATTTAATATATAACAAATACACTTATTAATTCTTTAGTAAAAACAGATAACAATATGACACATTGCCCTATGGAACATAACAAGCAGTTTTATAATAAAAAAAATGAAAAATCCTACCATATCAATAATGTGATACATCAGCCCGCACGTAGAGAGAAACAGAGCTATGCTACGTTTGAAGGTGAAGAGAAAGATACACTGAGAGTCGATAAATTTGACGGTGAGAATTAATTACAGCATAAACCTATGACATCTCTCATCGTTTATTGTTATATCTTTGTTAATTCAAAAACAAAAAATATAGTGTTTACTTTGTTACCTTCTCAACACATAAGCAAAAATTTTATAAAGAATGTTTTTTTTTTTCATTTAGGCCTTCGTTAAATGAGTGGTATATTTAAAAAAGACGACTTTTTAACTAAATTTTTGAAGGGCTAAAACCAAGATATTTACGTTTATATTTTTTTTCGGCCGTAAGTGCTAATGCAAATGATTTTTTTTAAATAAGTATAAACAATTACTCCCTACAAAGATTTTATTGTGCATTTGACCAAAAAATTAGTATTTTTTTCTCTATTCGGTGGTATCAATATCTGGATTTTTGATGATAGTGCCCTTCTGCACAATCTAATTTTGTATTAACTCCGGAAAAAGGGTTACCTTATCATGACCTTTCATCTGTGAAAAATTCAGCTATGTGACAAAAGAGTGGGAGGTGAATCGTTTTCTTGAGCGAATATTTTAATACATACACTTTACTAACAATGACAACAGCGGATATTATACCCACAATATATTGTGATTATACCCTACTGTGTCCCTTAGAATATGTCTTATTCACGGCCGCACGATATTTGTTAATAGTTACATCTCCTGGTTATCTCTGGACCTTACGCTAATGTTAGACTTTTAAACTAAATAAGCGCCACCTTATGTTTGGAGCAGGAACTAAAATGACAATTGACAGATGGCGGTAAATTCAAATTGTAGTAGTTTTAATTTAAATTTTAAATGTTCCTGTAAAAAACACCGTGTTGGGATTTGCTGACGTGATCTTCCAAGAGCAACTGTTGTTCTGCTGCCCTAACTAGACGTTTTATTTGATCGGGTTCCAACCTTGTAAAAGATTGGTTGTCATTTATTTCATATTTGAGACCTAGTTCATCCGCAGCTTTACCTGCAACCTTAAAAAGAAAAGCTTCGATACCAGTTGTTTCATGGTCTAGAAGCAGTTGCAGTAATGGGTCCCACTAATGGCTACCTTGCAAGCCAACCTCTCCGGACTCAGAAGACCTCTGCCCCCTTTATAACGTGGAAGGTAAATGCGTGAGACCGATAAGCGTGGGTGGATGCTTTTGTTCATATGTATCATCTTGCGTGTGCTTACATCTAGTTCCCATAGTTCCTCTCGCCTCCACTTGAGCACGCCAAATGAATACAAGAGCACAGGATAGCTATTCACTAAGTCATGGGAGCGCTTCCATGGGAGTAACATTTAAATTTGACATTATAGCGGTTATTCATTAAAATAGGGATGCGCTTGTTTTGTCCAGCAGTTTCCGTACTCAGTACTTCTAAACGGGTCCTTGTATACACACATTTAAACCACTGTGATTATCTAGTTTGTTGGATCGACAGTCGAACGGCTGATTTCTGTCAACTGACTGTCGAAGACGTTTTTTCGCGAGTATTTTCCCATAAATACAGGGGTTTTTCTGCGACACTCTGGGCTAGTAAGTGGCTGCCCTGTATTCAAGATGTCTGTCTAGCGTTTTCTAGTAATTATGGGTATACATCCAGTTTGGTGTAGATAGTACCTCTATTTGAGTTTAGCTAGGCTATTTATTTCGTTTTAAAGGTTTGTTTGGTTATTTTAGCCCTTTCTCTCAAGAATGTATTTCGTAATAGAAGGTGCTGCCAGTAAGGTATGTTGGTATTATTGGTTTTTGGAAGTGACGCCGTTTCTTCGAATTTGGGGATTCATTTTTGCACGTGGATTAGTGAAGAGGATTTCAATATTTAGTGGAATTCTTTTCCATCCATAATTGGGATATTGCGGAATAACCTTTGTTTAAAACTACAACAGTGTGTGATTTGGTTGTATTTTTGGTTAACCACATGTTGTAAGATGAGCTCTTAGGAGGATATTTGTTGAAAGCGCTCAATTAAAAAAGTTTGAAATAAATAGCAAAAAAATTGATTTAATATAAAATGTTTAACTTACCCATTTCATCAATAATAGGCGCCATCCTCAGGGTTATTCCAACCAACAAAAGACACATGAAGAGCAATAAAAATGCAGTTCCAACAATGGTCCATTTGGCTTTCTTGGTCGAGTCTTCCACCGTAATGTGCTTGAAGCTTTCGTCGAGTACACCAGCTTCGACTAAAAACCCGCGTTGTTCCAAAGCCATTCGTTTCTTCATTCGTTTCTTTCTACGTTTTCTTCTCTTCTTTCTTGCTCTTCGAATGGCTTCTTCTGAAAGTATCGTATCCGTTTCAATGTTGTCACCGTAAGCGTTCAGTTTTAAAGAGACATAGTCGTCGTCGTAGTGCAATCTGGAAATAAATTTATTAGTTAATAAGTTTAACCCTTTCATTTCACTGAAGTAGATTTGTTCCTCTTCAGGGACACCATTTTTCACAGCATTGAATGGATGAATTTTGACATTTTTTATGAACAATTTAAAAAATATGCAAATAAAGTAAATAAACCAAAAAAAATTAATTGTTTTACCAAAATTAACAGATGCATACTTCAGGGTTACTTCCCCCTCTGTAGTTGGACAAGGTTTTATTAAATCATAACATACATATTCACAGGGTGTTATATTTATTCGTAACAATATAACGTGCATAATTTGTATATACATTTTCTTACATGTGTCCTTCCATTTCTTGACTACAACAACAGCTAGGAGGTCTTTCATTGATAGAAGCGCAACTTTCAATATTGTCACATTGCATTGAGCGGTTTCTCTCTTCGTCACTAACTATTGACGATGCTTCGAAACTAGGTATTCTGTATTGATATTGCTGACTTCCAACCGAAGAAGATGACGATTCTTTTTTAAGAGCTGTAAAAAATATAGAATTGAATGAAATAACCATTAGAGAAAATAATGTCACTATACAAGACACAATGGAAATAGTAAGTCGCAAAAAAGGGACAAGGAATATTCTTTGAGTGTCCCAAAGACATTAACAAAAAGGAAATGACGTCTTAAATGAAACTAATTTATAAACACATAATTACCAGATTTTCTAACGATATTCTCGACTTCTACAACATGTTCCAACTTTACGCCATCTATTATCCCGTTTTCTTCCATTTTCTCATTCTTTGTAGTACTCTGACTAGACGTGGATGTTAATCTTAGACGTTTTAAAATAGACTTGGGTTTCGAATGAACACTTGATTGTTTACGATTGTCGTTTTTTAATGATTCTACCTTATTTTCTACTAAAGTTTGGAGAATAGCTTCTAGACGTGCTAGACTTAACGCCACGTTCCTTTTGTGGTCTACTCTGCATAGATCTTCGGTTGATACCGCTTTATCTTCCATGATTCTGACGAAGCTTGAGCAATATTTTCATCTGCAAAGAAGAAGAACATAATAATTCAGAGCTATCAACTTTATTATTTAAGAGTTTATGTAAGTATATGCATCATACGTTTTTCTAAAGAAATAATATCAAAATTTTTTAATAGAATATCGTAGTCCATACCTCTAATAGGATAAATTGTGTAAACTAATTACTTTAAGCCCCATGTTTTATACATTTTTGAAATTAGTTAAACGAGAGCAATCCAAAAATGGATAAAAAAATGGGGCAAGCCATTTAAAAAAAATTGAAGGGATGATAGTAGGGGTGAAAGGGTGACTTTTTTAGCAAACTTAAATATGGCACGATATCTCCCCCTTCGAATATTAATTGACGTATTATTTTGTTTTTTGTAATAATCAGTCCTTCAAAAGTTACTTAAGGTGGATACTTTTATCTGAAAAGCACTGTATGGGACTCCAAATTAAAGATTCGTATTCTAATTTAGATTATGCATAGCCGATAAAATCTTAATTATAACGCAGTCTTGCGTTGTGTAAAAACATAAATAACAAAAAAAAATCATTAGCTATGCTACTCGCAAACACTGTTGTTTATGAATTAAGTGTCCAAAAAATATTTGTGAGTTTTCTAAAGAAAACAGTTTCGATTAGAAAATAATAAACAAAATTGGATGAATCAATTTGTGGAAACTAATTAGTAAAGCTTTTCTTCAATTTGCTTTGTTTATTTGTACTAAATCTCGATAATTTGGCGTTGTACACGATATTTAATTTAAGTAGCAGATACTTTGCAATTGAAAAACATTTTTTAACTATTTTTGTTTCTTTTAAAACTCTTCTTTTCTCCATGCTTTTTATTTATTTGTTCTTTCTTCAATCTTATTCTAATTCTAATATTCATTTAGTCGTTTTTCATATAATTTTTGCTTGGTACAAACAGGTAAACCAAAAATCAGATTTAAAAATGTTAGTTAAAAATACTTTAACAACTAAAATACAGATTTTACTGTTTAATCGAAAATAAAATTTATTTAAATCGTGTCAACAAATAAATTCCAAATGACAAAACAATTCATTCACTGTTTCCACGCGGTTCATTGTAAAAATAAACTTTTTAATGTTAAATAAATATCAAACCAATTACTCAGTTACATAAAAACATACAAGATTTCTTAATAATTTTGATGTCTCACTAAATTTTAGTATAAGGCTATGAATTGTTTACACCGCAGTTACGTGTTGCTAAAACTGCTATATAGACAATAAATACTTCCTGTAAATAACTTTTATCTTATCATACTTTTATAAATTTTCCTAGAGATAAACATAGGTGTGGATTAAATGTAAATATATACATTATTCTTTAGCTTGACTTTGATCAATAAAGACATATTAAAAGTAGTTCTTAATTTTTTTTAAAAAATAATTTTCTATAAAGAAAATTAAAACTGGCGCAGTCAGTAGGATTCGTGCGAGCTGTGAACACTGTAAATTCGAGAAAATCGTTTTCTTCGAGTGATAGACTTGGACTTTTAGTCACTATCGTGCAGACTTTCACGGTTTTAACGTGTTAACGTTTTAAGCGCGAATTCTAACCAACGGTTCCCATCTGTGGAAAACCAACTATCAGCCCTTCAGTGGACATCCCAAAGTAAGCGAAGAATCGGAGAAGAGGATTTTGGAAGCCAGTTTCTTCTGCAAACGTAAGTGCCAAATTTTTCTTTTTTCGCCTTTCCCACCATTCATAGGTTTCGGAAAGATAATTTAAGTTGAATATTAATTTTTTTATATACACGCTTATTTTTTAATTTTTGATGAACGATTTTGATACTTTAGTCGGAGCTTTTAGTAATATCTCAATTAGTGAAAGTAATTCAGATATAAGAAATATGACGCCAAGTAATTCTACCCCTCAACGGGCCCAAATTAATTGGGACCTTTTCAAATCTAAACTAAATAATATCAAACCTTTTAATGGTGAAAGTGATTATTTAAATAAGTTTATTACTAGATGTGAGAAGTTTATTGATTCTTATAAGATTTATAATGATGTAGAATTAAACATACATGCATTTGAATGTGTACAAGAAAAATTAGAAGGTCGTGCCGAATTTATGGTAGGCAATAGAGTAGAAATTGACACTTGGCCAAAATTAAAAGATGCTTTATTACAAGCTTTTGCAGATCGACGTGATCTTGATTGTCTCGTCCAAGAACTAACAAGGACTAAACCTCTTAAAGGTGAACACCTTATTGATTTTGGCAGTAGACTACAATTAATTAAAAGTAGCGTAGTACAGAGAATAAGCAATGACCTTTACATTGATCAAAATGATAAAATTTGTCAAATTAACCATTATAATAAGACAGCCTTAAATACTTTTATAGCTGGTTGTAGTGGAATTCTAAAAAATAACATGCACCTTAAAAAACCAGATTCTTTAGAGGATGCTATGGCGTACGTAAAAGAATTTAATAATTTCCAAGATTTATACGGAAACATAAATGACAGAAATTTTCAACAAAATGGATTTTATTTTATTTTCAAAAAATAATACAAATTTTAATCAAAATCACAATTTTAATCAAAATCACAATTTTAATCAAAATCACAATTTTAATCAAAATAGATTCCAAAATTTTGTACCAAATAATCAACAATTAAATACACGTTTTCAAAATTATCCAACAAACAGGCAAAATTTCCCTAGTCAGCCAATTAATGTACAACCTATCCCACAAAATAAAAAATACTTTTCAAACCGCCAGGTATTTGGCCCACAAAAAAATGTCTTTCGACCAAATCAGATTTCTGAAAGTCAGTTACCAAAACCAGTGCCGATGTCAACAACATCGCGAAATTCTAGTTTACAAACAAGAAGACCATTTAATTATAATAATAAATTTTTCCAAAACTCTAATTAAAATTCAAAACCAAATTTTGTTTTTGAAGAGTTACATTCAAATCAATATAGTGATTCTAACCCTAAATTTGAATATGATACAGATTTGTACCATAATGATTGCGATAATTTAGATCAATACCAAAGTCAAAATCATGAATTTTATAATGAACATAAAAACGAAGAAGCTTAAATCAAAATTTTCGGGCTGCCAGCCTGTCAAAAGTGAAAAGATAATAGAAATAAATAATTTTTTTACAAAAAACCCTTTACCGTACATAGAAATTTCTCACCCTAGATTAAAATTACTGATAGATACAGGCAGTTCCGTATCAAAAATTAAACCCTCTGTTATCGAAACATTTATCACTCAAATGTTGTAATAACAACAAGTTGCGGTAGTAAGAATTTAAGATATCAAGCATCGGTTCCCGCATTCCCAGAATTTAATCGCAATAATTATTATATTAATTTCATTTTGTACGATTTTCATCATTATTTTGACGGAATATTAGGAATAACAGATTTAAAAAATATGAACTTGAATATCGACATCACTAATCAAAAGTTAGTCGGATATAATACAGAAATACCCTTCAAATATAGACGAGTTGACGATGTAAAATTTTCATTCTCTGCGAATTCCAGAGAAACAGCTATCAAAAAATTTTAGTTAAAGCTCAAAATATTAAAAATAATTTAGGGACTATTCCTTCTAAACTTAATAAAAATATATCGGAATTAAACAATTTTGAAACCAAATCTATGGAAGATATTTGTTTTGAAACAAACTTGTATAAACTTTTTGAAACTGAAAATAGTGATAATAATTCACAAAAAATCAACAGTAATTTATATAAAAATAATTTAGCAGACAATGCAATATCTAAAAATGAATTAGATGAAATTAATACTTCAGAAACCGAATCTTTAGACATAAATATAAATGATATCGACAAAATAGTTCTTGAAGAGTTAGTAGATTATTTTCCTAAATTAGATCAAAAAATAGATATTAAAGATGATGATCAAATATTTGATATAGATCAACTGTACAAATTAAATGTTATGCTGACCAATAAAAAGTTTTCTAAAATAAATCCGTATAATAAAAAAAAAATTACATTATCAAATAAAAATATTAAAACTAAAACAAATACAATACATAAATACAAGAAAAAAGAAAAGAAAGAATTTTCATTGCCAAATAATAAAATTAAAACCAAAATGAAAAAACCAGGAAAATATAAATGTAACAGGAAGAAAATAAAATTTAAATGTTTTCCAAACTTTAAGAAAAAAGGAACAAAATTCAAAAACTATTAAGTACTACTCTAATAAAAATAAACCTATTTTTATTTAAATTACGCTTCTAATTTTGTTAAAATTAAAATAAATAATAATAATAAAACACGCAATCTTAAATTACAATAATTCGATTCACTCTATTACCAAATTTACACCTTTTGAAGTCATTAAAGGTCAGATAAATAACCCTGATCCATTTGTGGTCACCTAGGTACCACTTAGTAATTTCCCACTATGTTCAAAATCACAAAGAAGCTAGTAAACAATTGTACGAAAAAATTAGAGAACGTAACGAAAAAACTAAAGAAAAAATAATAAATAAATTGAACACAAAAAGGTCCGATCCGCCGGACTATTCAAAACAAAAAAATAATTTACGTTAAAACTAAATCAAGAGATAAAAAACTCCCTAAATTTAAAGCTACTAAATTAATCAAAAATAAAAATGTCTTAATTAAAACCAATAAAGGAACTTATCACAAAAGTATTGCACGAAAACCGAAAAGTAATAAAAAACAATTGTTACAGGATACCGATGAACACGAAGATCTTGATGATCTACCTGGTCCTTCAGGTACATCAAATGACCTGTAATGGAGAAGATATACAAATTACTAAATTAGAAAACCTGCTTCTTCCTATCCAATTAGGAAATGCTAGATTAGTTTATAGTAAACATACCTTTTTACACTACGTAGATTTAAGTACCCTTGTTAAACAAATAGATAGTTTAGTTCAACATTTTAGAATAGTATTAGGTAGTATAACGCAAGTAAATGTTACAAA